CCTTTAATGTTTTTTGTCATTGTTGTTTTTCTTGGGTACTACTGACTGACTTCTGGTGGGATGAGTTGCCCAATGCTCCTTGGGCCACTGTATTGCCTACCTCCCACACTCATCTCTCTGTGTCTGAGTCTGTCTCCCCCACTCACCTGTCTGCTCTGCGAGGGTAGGGCTCAGGGCTGACTCATCACTCAATGTGAGGCAGAGTTGGCCTTAAGAAATATGTATGGAATTGAATCAACCCACTTACTTGGCATTGCCCATCCCCATCTATGCTGCAGACTCTTGGAGTGACTTACACACGAATATACAGTCACCAGTATGGTGTCTGGAACACAGTAGGTGCTCAATAATTGTTTGTTAGTGCTGCTACCACTAACCTGGAGATTTCCATACTTGGTAGGGCTGTTTCCTGCCTCCCTCTACTTCTTCCGGATGGTAAAGAAGGGAAACCACTTTGACATGGCAGAGGGAAGGTGGCCCTGCTTTGTCCCCCATTTTCTATAAGTTAGGAGCAGAACTAAGTCGGCAATGAATTCAAAAGAAGCAGCTTGCTGCACTGAGGCTATTTTATATGCTTACATTGCTCGCAATACCAGTTATCATTAGGAGCAATTAAAACTATTTCAGGATCAGTTCAAAGCTCCCTTTGAGGTATTTTAAGTTGGACAAAAGTCCTCCATGTGTCTAGCTCTGAGCCAAGTTCTCTGGTGTCATTAGAAACACACTTGTATTTGGAGAGTACTCAGTCTGTATATTTTGATTGCCTAAATATTTCATAAATTTCAGGGGTGTTTGTCAGAAGTGGGTTAATGTTTCCAGAGCTGTTTCGACTGTCTTACAAGTCCCATCCCCAATCTCAATTAAGTGGAGGGGACCATGAGATGTGAGAGGAGGGGGCGATCCGCATAGGGTCTTCCCTTAGAGCCAGTCCCTCTGGCTAGGCAAAACCCCGGGCATCTGTAGCGTGGAGGGAGGGTGGCAGAAACCAGAGCAGAAAGGGATGAGGGCTTGGTCTAGGGTGGGGGCATGAAGAATTGGGAAGAAGGCGGGAACCCAATGTGTAGGGCAGGGCTGTGAGGAGTGGAGTGGGGAGACCTTCAGAACATCTTAAGTAATCTTCAGAATTTGATTGAAAGATAAAAAAGGGGAAATAACCGGTTTTGGGGTTTTGGCATATCGGACTGCTAGGGAGTTAGTCAGCAACTTCTTCTGACCAACTCTTGGTTGGCCCTGGCCCTGACCCTGACCCTTACCCTGGGCCTGGAGGACTGGTAATGGCATTGGGGCCTGGGATCACTATTCCTTAAACACCCTCAGGACCCTCCAGGGACCTCCAGGGCCACAATTGGCACGAAGAATGGCTGCCTGCTGACAGAGGGGGTTTAGCTGGTGGGCTGAGCTCGGGGGGCTTCCGGATGGAAGAGCTCTGACCTGGGTGGTAAAGGAGGGTGGAGGGCAACTAAGTCAAATGGGAGGAAGAGATTCTACAACAGTGGAGGACTGGGGAGGAGCCCTGCTGGCAGGAGGACTGTGTCCCTCCACGGCAACACTGGCCGGTTCAGTGAGGCCTGTGGCAGGGCCTGGGAAGAGGGACCAGACAAGGCAAACTGTCTTGCCCAAGTGCCTTTCTTTGGCCGTGACTGACGTGACTGCTAGGTCATTTCTGTTCGGGAACAGTGACGTTAGTCGTCTGAGGGCTTGTGGTTTGAGAATAAGGAACCTGCTGCTACTTAGGGCTTCCCCAGACGCCTTGCTTTGGTCAGAGCCCACCTAGATTCCCTTGGGCCCAGATCGGCACTGCCTCCCTAACCAGATGTTTGTGCAGAGTTCACCTCTTCGCCCCCACTTTTCAGCTTGAGGACCTGATGGCATAACCCACTGATGCAGAACCCTAGAAGCCGCGGTGACTCCTGCTGCTGGGAGCTGTGCCATCAACCCTATATCCACACACGCACACCAACCCCGGGAAGGGGGCCACAGGATGGGCTGGGGAGGGTGTTGTGCAGGCAAGCGGGACCTCCCTTGTGGCAGGGAGTGCCCAGAGCTGGGAATAATGGAGGGTGTCACATCCTCAGCGCCACAGCGTGAGGGGCAGAAGGTAGGATGACCCACTTTCAGAGTGGCGTGGCTGTGACTGGGGCTGCTTCAAGTGGTCGGCCTGCACATACACGTTGGTCTTAAACTTCAAAACTGGGCGGTTAAACATCTGTATCCTGTTTTCATTAGCTTGTAAGCCATGGTGATGGGGACCTGCCTAGTTTTCTGAGCCAGCAAGTGTGCCCAGAGGCTAATAAACAGCAGGTGCCTTGGCTAAATAGGATTTTAAAACTCAACGTAAATGCATATGCAAATAAATATGTGAAATGAAAGGTGGGAGCTGACTTCTATATTCAAGTTGCACAATTTCTTAGCTGTGTTGAACTGAGAACGATAATGTGACTGTGTATGATGTGTGTTTTACATGTGCATGGTGTGTGTACAGTGTGTTTTTGCAGACAGTGCGTATATATGTAGTGTGTGGTGAGGAGTGTGTGTGTCTCTGTGTATATGTTTGTGTTGTGTATGTGTGTGTGTGAGAAAGAGAGAGAGAGGAGAGAGAGAAAGAGAGGGGGGGGAGAGAGAGAAGTCCCCATCAGATTGGTTGGAGATAAAACCAGCTACATTATTTACAGTACCTGGTGTAAAACGTAAGTGTGGGGCCTCTCATTCCAAATTATTGGTAATTTCAAGACAGCAATAGCAGAGCATCGAACCAAGCTCAGGCTTTTCTGAGATTTCATCGGTCAAATACCCATGAAGCCGGCCCTGATTGGAGAAAGTGCACCTCCTGTCTCCCCTCAACCTTCCTTGGCTGCCATGAAACTTCCTTGAGTTCCCCTTTTCCCTCTCCCTGTCCAGCTCCCAGGGAGACCTTGAGCTTGGGAGTGTCTGGAGCGGAGCTGAAGTGGTTGACCTGCACACTGTGGGGCTTATTGGTGCCTTTCCTGACTCTCCCCATCTGGGCCTCACCAGGGCACCCAAATCCATAAGGTGTCTCTTGGTTGTTTGCTCAAAATGATCTCCCTTCAGGTCCCTCGAGCCTATTTTGTATCACAGGGCCCTGCCCTCCACCCTCAGGACTTGAAGGCTTCAGGCTCCTCCCCAGCTCCCGCTGTGCTCCCAGGGGTAAGTGGTCAGGCAGCAGAAACAGTACAGAGAAGGAGACGCGTGGTTTCCAGGTGCATCCCCACAGCCCACCAAGGGCTTCGGTTCTCAGTGGGTCCCGTTCTAGGGGGAAGAAATGGCAGAGGGGAGCTGGGGAGCTGGGCCACGTCAGGCTGGCTTCACAGCTCTGAAATCTCAGTGAGGGGGTGTGGAGGGTGGGGACTGCCTCAGTCCTTCTGTTTATTGTCCTGGTTTGCCTCCTCTGGGGTGAAGTCCTGTGTGCCTGCTTCAGAACACTCAGGAGATGCTAATGGGTAATAATGAGGGTGTTCCCGCCCCAATACCTATACTTGTCAATAATTAGCCATGAGGTTCCTGGAGGAGGCACCTGGCCTGTCCCAGCTGGTTTAGCTCATTGGTGTACCAATAGCATAGCAGTTCTGAGGTCTCTGGTGGTTCTGGGGTGTTCCACATGTGGGCATCTCTCAAGGGTTAAGGGAACTTGAGAACTTACTTCACCATGTTCCTTATCCTAGCCAGAGACTGGCCCCTGAACTCAAGTCCTTCCAGCTCTCTTCATAACCACCAGACCCCTGTGTGCTCCTGCCTTGGGGATCTCAGGTGGGATTGTGTGAACAGCCAGCCTGGAGGGCCTCCCAGAAGAGGGCCACCTGCCTCAAGCCAAAGGACCCAGGATTGTAGAGGTTGTAGGGAAGCGTGGGACAAGGTGGGCTAGAGAGGGGATTTGGGACAAGTGGAAATTGCTATAAACTTGTTAATGGGCTTTGCCTGCCCCAGAGACAGAGAGAGTGACCAAGGTCCCCAGTTAGGAGTGTGATGATAATCTGGCTTTCCAGAGGGGGAAAAAAAAAGTCCTGATTTAGAATTTGCCAATTCTGTGGTATAAATACTTCCACAAAGTCCAATTTCAAGCTACCAGTTGGCTAAAAACTGGTTCACAAAATTCTTGAATATTTAACAATCAGCTCTTGCTCACTGCCTATTAGATCATCGTCACCAAGAGCACAAGCCCCCAGGACCTGGCTGTACACCTCCCTGAGCCCAGCACATCCACTGCCCGACTTTATTTGCAAAATGCCCTTCTCACTGCATTGGATAGCCTGGAACCTGAAGCAAACTGTCCAGCCATTCAAGCTCCTTGTGTTTCCGATCCTAGATTTGGGCTTGTCTGCCTCACAAGTTATCATGATGCTCATTGAGGTGATGGATGTGAAACGACTTTGCCAAAGTAAACACCAAACCCAATCAAGTGAAGTGCCACAACCCAAGTTCCAGCAACCGCCTTTTTGTAGTGCAGAGCAATGGAGAACTCTGACTTCAGTATCCCGCACAATGGTTTGAAGAGCCAGTTTAGGGCATCCAGCAATCCTAGTTTGACAACTGACAAGCCATCCTGCCTCTCACATCTCTTGGTTACATGCCAGCCTCCTCACTCATTCGCACTTCCAGGGGACCAGATGTGTGGGGTGATGAATACCATGGAGCCAGGAAGCCACTAGGTCAGGTCCCTGGGCCACTGAACAACGCCCATCCCGGGGGCTGGGAGTCTATCCGCAGAAGTCCACCTGCGGAAGGGGCTTCCTGGTCTTACAGGTGGCAGAGACATTTCACCAGGTGCAGTTTTTTTTTTTTTAATGCAATCTTCTCGGAGATCCACCTGCCCTTGACACCTTCCCAGTGACTCCATTTCCCCCTCCTGTGGGCTCCTGGAATGGCACGATGGCCCCACCTTAGTCTGGCAGCTGTAATGGGAGGTGTTGACCCAGCTGCCTCTCTGCTGGCTCACTGTGTCAGGTTGAAGGGGCTGAGATAGTAGTGACAGAGAGTCTTTGGGCATGGCTGGGGACCTTGGGACCATCCAGAGGCAGGACCGGGACCAGGGTCTTCTGGGATTCAGCCAGTCCCTGGGTGATGAGTGGTACAGGGAGCCAGTGAGGAACAGGCTCTGTGCCAGGAAAAACAGCCCAGAGCCACAGGTGTGCCTTCAGTTCTTGCTCCTCTCCTGTTTGGTGGCAGCACTCACCCAGGCCTGGAGCCCAGCAGAGAGCACCTGCTGACCCCAGAGTAAGTTTCTATGGAGGCCGGAGACAGTGATGTGTGTGAACATCGCACCCTGGTCATCATAGGAGACAGAGTGGTGAACAACTCAGCACAGCACACTGCAATACACACTCAGCTGGGAGTAGGCTCATTTTGTGGGGCAGGGTAGAAGGCTCGATGGAGAGGGGTGATGATGCTTGAATGGGATTGTAAAAGTGAGTTCCCCCAACAGCTTCAACCTCTCTGCACAGGTCCGCACCAGGCTCCAGCCCTAAGACTCACAGATCTGCCTTCTGGGTATCCATGAGGGTGGCCTTGCAACCCCCCCCCCCCCCAACAGCCTCCTCCAGCCAAAGTCTTCCAGAATCTCACCCCTGGCTTCACCAACATGGCAGACATTTCCCCTTCTTAGAACAAAAGGGAATGAAATTCTTTGGCTGCTCTTTTTATAAATGATCAGGCATGCATGCATGGAGTGGGGTGGGGTGGGGGCTACAGTCCTGGAGAAGGGGCTCTTGGAAGGCTCCTGGAAGGTGAGAAGGGCCAGCAGGGGAGGAGACAACACTCATGGAGTGGCCAGAGCTGGGGCTGGAACAGGATCCCACATCCCAGATCCCAGCTTCCAGCGTCCACTCCCAGAAGTTCAAGAGCCACACCAGCCTACTTTCAGGGCCTTAATAAGGGCACAAGGGCCGAGGCCTAGCCCGGAAAAGTGCTGACTCTGAATTATGTGTGATCAATGACAAAAAATTACTGTAATGATTGAGTTCATGGGAAACGCTTGTGTGTGTGTGTGTGTGTGTGTGTGTGTGTGTGTGTCCTGTCATTTAAAAACTATTTCTGTGCACTCGTGATTCTGAGACCCTCCTCTGTCTCTTTTTCTGGGGAAGCTTATAGGATTCCACACTTGGTTCAGAAGGTATGAGAAACACCTGCTGCATGCCTCACACATAGTAGGAGCAGCATATAAGCTCCTTTCCTTTAACCACTCAAAGTGGTCATTTGGGGCTCAGGGCAAAAGGCTTCCCCAGTCCAGACGTTGATGGGCCACTGGTCCCTGCCTCCCCCTTCCTTCTCCAGCTGATGACAAACACCTAGATGTCGTAATGTCTTCCGTGTCCTCATCTGTTATTCTGGGCAGGCTGGGGAGGGTACCTGAATAGGCCCCCTCTGACTGGGGCTGGCCTTTTTTTGCAATGTGGGCTGGCCTGTGCCAGTCCCATGGATGGATGCAGAAGGGTGAGGCACTGAACCTGCTCGTTGGGCAGGATGCTGGCAGGAGGGCGGGACAAGCAGGGGCGGAGCGTCCAGAACAAAGGAGAATGAGGAGCCCTGGGGCCCAGGCTAGGCATCAAAAAGGCTCTGCAGAGTGAGCAGGCCACAGCAGCTGTCCTCCGCTGCGCACAACAGTCTGTCAGACAACCCTCGCTGGTCCCTTCTGTCTGCCCCAGGCTGGGCACCTAAGCAACACTCTGCTTAGAGAGGCCTTGTTCTCCAGCGTGATTGGGCCCGCACTGCTCTGTGGCTTTCTCTTTTTGGCGTGGGTGGCTGCCGCAGTTCCAGAGGACAGCAGCGGAATGGCCGGGAGCGGAGCCAGGAGCCAGAAGCGCACCTTCACCCCAGAGCCTTTTGATGGAGCCAATGTATCTCCTCAACTCTGGCTGCATCGCTTTGAGGTCATCAATGACCTCAACCATTGGGACCACCGCACCCAGCTAAGGTTCCTGAAAGAGTCCCTCAGTGGAGACGCCCTGGAGGTGTACAATGGACTCAGTCCCAAGGACCAGAGGAGCTACGGAGCTGTGAAAGAGGCTCTGCTGAAGGCCTTCGGGGGCGCTGGGGCAGCCCACAGCCACCTGCCCAAGGAGATTGTCTTTGCCAACAGCATGGGTAAGGGCTACTACCTCAAGGGAAAAATTGGCAAAGTACCCGTCAGGTTCCTGGTGGACTCGGGGGCCCAGGTCTCTGTGGTTCACCCGAGCTTGTGGGAGGAGGTCACTGATGGCGACTTGGACACCCTGCGGCCCTTTGAGAATGTGGTAAAAGTGGCCAATGGGGCGGAAATGAAGATCCTGGGCATCTGGGATACAGTGGTGTCGCTGGGTAAACTGAAGCTCAAGGCCGAGTTCCTGGTGGCCGATGCCAGTGCTGAGGAAGCCATCATTGGGACCGACGTGCTCCAGGACCACAACGCCGTCCTGGACTTCGAACATCGCACCTGTACCCTGAAAGGGAAGAAGTTCCGCCTTCTGCCTGTTGGAGGGTCCCTGGAAGATGAGTTCGACCTGGAGCTCATAGAGGAGGAACCCTCAGAGGAGGGGCGGCAGCAGTCCAAATGAAAAGCCCCCATTTCCTTAGCCCCCAAACACTGGTGGAAAACCCACCGCAGTGGAGGGGAAGGGCACAGGTTCTCAGGGGGGTCACTGGGCTTGGCCAACCCTATAAAACCAATTCTTGCCTCCCACCTTCCCCCTTCCTCCTCCCTCTGCAGAGGCCTTAATCTGCTCCTGGTGGGGAGGCTTCCATTTGAAAAGGCACAGGTGAGGGAGAACAAGCTGGCTTTCTTAGAGGGAGAGAGGGTCCTCATGATTGTCAAGCTGCCATTGTGGGCAGACTCGAAGGCTGGAAGAAGGTTCCAAGACGGCTAGAAATGATTGTCTTTGAGAGAGGACTAGGGGAACCCTTTGATCCCCTGAGATGTGGCTCAGTCACCTTCAGGTCTGTTTGGCCTGAATCAGCTGGGCTGGGTGCTGGCTGCAGGGTCCTCATGAGTGAGATCCAGCTCTCTTGGTTAAGGGTTGCAGCTGCTCCGGGATTCTTCCATGGTTCTTCCCACCTGCACAATATATGTATTTCCTTCTGTCATTTGCTTTGAAACCCATGGAACCTTGTGCCAATAATTCATTACTTCCAAAACTAATAAAGATTGAGTCATGGCAAAACCATGTAATGTGTTGATTGGGGATGAATAGGATGGTTGTGAGAGGGTGGGGGAAAACAGGGAGTACATGTCAAAGAGAAGGAAGATTCCAGTATCTATTGAGCGCCTAGCCTGGATGTAGGGGGTTATATATACACGATGACTATATATCTTGGGTTTTATGCCAGCCTCAATGTAAAATATTTTGACTTATTTCCCCCATAATTCCTGCCATTATTTCTAATTTAATCATAATTTCTCTACTCATTTCAAACTATAACTTTTTAGCATCCAAATTGCCCCTTATACTCAAAAGTGACCCTGAAGTTATTTGTGAGATGTCGTGAGTGGCGATTGGAAAATTATGGTTATTGTAAACAAATGGGAAAGTATCTACCTGGCAAATAAGTTCATACAGCTACCTGGGAGCCAGGGTTTGGAGGCAGAAAGCAAGGTCAGGGGACAAGTGTTTACCTGCACGAGGCCAGCCCAAGGGGGTCCTGAAGGACAGAGGAATGGGGCAGCAGGGTGCTCTGGTGGTGGGAGGACAGCTTCTTCCTGGAGGGGCTTGGAATGAGCCTGAAACTATAGAGGCGGGATAAAGTCGACAGATCTGGGAATGGGGTGCCCATCTCTTTTAGGGTCTACCTCACATTTGCTTCCAAGTGGCTGCCTCTCTCTGGGACTCAGCAGGGCCAGGAACCTGAAACCCCTCAGAGCCAAAAGGGAGACTGAGGGGGCAAAGCTTCAAGAGCTTTCGTTGGGAGGTGGGAAGGGCCATCTCCCCTTCGTGAGGGTGGAATGAGCCTTTCCTGGAAGTTTCCACCTGGATATCCCTGAGAAAGAAACCATCAGCCTGCCCGGGAGCCCGAGGTAGGCATGAGGCGTCAGCCTAAGAAGCCTCTGGGGATTTGCCCCCTCAACCTCTCAAAGCTGATCTGAGCTGAGAGCTGCAGCCCCTCCTCAAATCCCAGCTGCGATTCCCCTGGGGAATTGAGGCACCTGTTCAGACCCTTAGCCTCCTGATTACTGAAGCCCCAGCCCTGGGCAGCCAAACATCTTCACAGGAATTAGCTCATCAAGCCCCAGGAAACTTTGGGGAATGGGTGAGGCCGGATCAGGAGGAAGTCTTTTCCCAGGAAAGTGAGGCCTGGAGAAGGGGTGTGCCCAGCGAGAGGCCCGAAGTGGAGGTAGGAGAGCCAGAGAAAGAGGTGGTCTCCTCGGGTCCCCCAAGTCCTGCAGCCTTCTTCTCAAGTTTCGTTTTCAACCTCTAACAAAAGATGCTTCTTTCCTAGGTCAAACCCTCCCCGGAGGGAACAACCCAGGTGGCACCTCCCTGTGACCTAGTTCCTCTAGGTCCTTCAGCATATAGGCTTGTGCTGGGCTGAAGGAGGGAGGGTGAGGAGTGGGTGGGTGAGGAGGCAGGCAGGGGAATGGGGAATTGGGTGACAGGGCAGCACCCAAGTTGTCCCCTCCCTGCCCTTCTCCAAGCATGGTCAGCTGGTGAATAAGGATGGATGGCGGGTGTCTCAGCTGCAGAGTTCCTTCCTCCCCTGGTCTGAGGGAGGAGAGTCTCTCTGAGCCAGCAGGCTCTCAACCAGCTCTCTCTCCTGGAGGAAAGTGAGCACCCAGGGTGGGCCCCATGAGAGAAGGGGTCTGTGACATCTACGGCACAGTCCCCCATGGAGGAAGGAACTGAGTGGTGGTTCTTACCTGGAGCACCTGAACTCTTTAAGTCTCACTGACTCAAGGGAGACTTAAGATAGGTACTGCGTGTGTGTGTGTGTGTGTGTGTGTGTGTGTGTGTGTGTGTGTGTGTGTGAGGTCATTTCCAATACAAATGTGTGAAGGTGGAACCTGGGCTGCAGGGTGGTAAACGCTGCTCTCCTGGGAACAGAACATCAAGGGGGCGCCCTGGAGAGCAGCCAGGGAGTGGGTTGGCCACCTTGCAGAGGGTTTGATGTCTGGGTGAGGAGCTTATGCTTGGCTTGCATGCAAGTGTTTGAACAGCGGAGGACCAGGATGATTGATCTGGCTTCTAGGTGTAGGGTGGAGTAAAGCAGCAGCAAAAAATCCAGCTTGGAAGCCATGGCCATATTCAAACTTAGGGTTGAGTTTGAGATGATGGAAAGGAGGAGACAGGCCGGCATCCATATAATTGTTTAAGCCTGGATGTTCATTAGAATCACCTGGGAAGATCAATTAAAGCAGGTTCTTCCGGTGTTCCTAACGAGCAGCCAGGCTCGAGAACCCCTGGTCTAAATCCCAGCTGTACCTACTCCTTCGCAACCCAAAAGATAAGCATCAGCTGGGAGCAGGAGAAATGCAGAATCTCATTCCCACCTGGACCGGTACTAGAATCTGCAGGTGATTCTTATGCTCACGAATGTTTGGGAAGCCCTGGCCTAGAACATTTCAATCCCTCTAGTTAAGGGGCTACTCGTGGCCCCCTGGAGACCCCTCTTCTCTAAGAATGACACTACACACTGAATACCTACCAATTCCCCTGACAGGGCTGGATAATTTCTCATGCTTTTATCTAGCAAACATTTATTTTTAAAGTTTTGTTTTGAAATAATTTCAGACTTACAGAAAATTTGCAAGAGTAGATAGAGCAAAGGATTTCCATGTTTTCTCCAAACATGAACATTTCACCAATTAACATTATCATTTAATCTCACTCTCACTCTCTTTCTCTGTATCTGTATGTATATGAACTGTTTGAAAATTGCAAATATAATGTAAATTTACTCCTAAATATTTTAGTGCTTATTTCCTAAAACAACAAAGGATTCTCTTATATAAGGAAGCACAATACAATGATCAAAATCAGGACATTAACACTGGCATAATATTACTATTATCGAATCTGCAGACCTTATTACACTATCCCAATGACCCATTAATGACCTTTATAGCAAAAGAAAACAATTGTTTTCTGGTCCAGGATGCAATCCAGCCACACATTGCATGTAGTTGTTATGTCTCTGCAGTCTCCTTTAATCTGAACCAATCCTCAGTCTGTCTTCGTCTTTCATGACCTTGACATTTATGAAGAGACCTGGCCACTGTGTAGAATGCGAATCTACATTTGGGTGCCTCTGATGTTTTCTCATGACCAGACTCAGGCTATGCATTTTGGGCAGGAATGGCCAGAAGTGATGTGTTCTTCTCAGTGCATTATATCAGGAGGCATGGGATGCCCCTTTGTCCGTTACTGGTGAAGTGAACTTGAATCAGTTGGTCCAAGTGGTGTCTGCCAGGTATCTCCACTATAAACTACTTTTCCCTGTGTAATCAATGAATGTCTTCTGGGTTGATACTATGGAAAATATAGTATATATTCCATATGATATATAAATAACCTGCTTCTCATCAGATTTTTCCCCACGAGATCCTTGCCTGCAAAGGTGATCTCCTAATCCTACCTCTCTATGTTTATTAGCCGGTGCTCAACTTGAAAGGAATATCCCTTCTTGTTCATTTCTTTATCATTTACTTATATCACTGTAGACTCAGACTCTTATTCAATCAGTTATACTCTGATACTATCACTATGTATTTTGATGCTTCAATTGTTTTAGATTTGCCCTTGGGAGCCTCTTCAAGCTGGTTCCTGTCTTCTTGGGACATGTCCCCATCATAATCTGAGCTCTTCCTTATTTCCTGTTACAAGGTGTTTCAGGTTGATCTCGTGTCTTCTGTGCACCAGCCCTGGAATCAGCCATTTCTCCAAGGAGCCCTGGTTCCTTCTAGTAGAGTCTGGTAGGCAGGAACCGGCACCTGGGAGTCAGATGTGCTCATTGCTACTGGTGTGTCATGACTTGTAGGTCCTCTCAGCGATCAGAGTTGAGACAAAAACATACATCTGTATATGTTTTTCTATCCATTGCTCTCTATATTAAAAATTTGAGTTCATACTGATACCTCCAATTCCAACCCAGCACCCTAGGGTTTATTCTAACCTCCCCCTTTCCATATTTGTAACTTTTTTCTTCAACAATGAGAAACCTGGCTCCGGGCTACTTATTTGCTCAATCCTAGAATACCCAGGAAGTAATTTCAGAATTGCTAACCCATGTGCCTATGAAAAACAAACCAGTTATTAATCCTCTGCTCAGTGCCAGGTATGGGGGCGGGGGTCCTTGGCAGCAAATAAGACAGATAAATTATGATATCAGGCTGCAGTCATTTTAAGAGGAGCTAAGACTCCCAGGTATGCAAGGCTTCCTGTGCCAGTCTGAAGGTATTCCTTTATCTCAAGGACACAATGTGTCCATCAAGAGGGCAGCTGGAGTCAGAGACCAAAGGCCACAGTCTTCCCGTGGTGATGCCAAGGGAGTGGCCACCTCTGTGTCCCAGAGAGGCGACCTGGCCTGCCCACCTGGTCCTCAGCCACTGAAGACACATTGAGACACA